AGCCTGAGATTACTATATTGTGATCTTATGATCAAACCTAACAAGACAAAGACATGGCCAAGTGGGGCTGCTTTTAATATCTCAGAGTCAGCTGCGGGGATCCAATTATTTTCAGTTTGGATACATTTCCCCTTTATCAATATCTCCGTGTGCATAAATAAGATGAAAGTGGCCCCGCAGAATCAAAGCCAAGTGGCACTCCTCTTGCGGGGCAGACTGGTTGGGTCTGGAAGTGTGTGGCCAGTCTTCTCCCACGCAAGTTTCTGATGTGGGCCCTGACCTTCCTATCGATGGCCAGAGACAAGAAGGGAGTTTAGGCAGAGAGATGAAGTTACAAATAACGAAAGAGGGGTGTGTGGGTGTGGGTGTGTGGAGGTGGGGGGGGAGACGCTCAAAACAGGAAGAGGATGTGCATTAAACCCGCCAATGTCCCCTTCCAAGTGGCATCAAAGTGGTAATGGGTGATTTCGGCTGTGCTACGGGTTTCTCTCGTGTGCTGTTCCTGCAATTGAAAACACAGTTTGGCATTCTAACTTCCTTTGATTTCCCAGCCCAAGCCAGCAGGTGCCAAGTACCACATAAATAGGCTACCTGTACTAAAATGTAAATAACACGGTCTCTGCTGACACTCCCAGGCCAGACGCCATCAGGGAGACACAAAGGAAGCCAGCCAAATGGGGACAGCTACACCACCAAGCCTCCTGGCTTCTGCCCAGAGGACTGCCTTGTTCCAGGAGGAAATCACCATCACCGAAGCCGAGGGCACGGCAATGAAGGGGACAGGTAAGCATGGTGCAGACTAGCCCTGGCCACACAGCCAGGACAGGAATCACAGGGGTCTGCAGCAGCAGCTTTGATGTTGCAGACGACCAAGCCTCATTTCATCCACGGGGGGAGCCAGGTGGTGTGGATGCAACAAGAACACCTGACACCTGGCTGCCAGGTGACCATGTTGTGTGTTGTGTATGGCACAGGCAGTCTCCTGACTCATAATGTCTTTACCCCAAAGGCTATTTTCCTTTTATTTCAAAGGGTTGCCAGCGATCTTGGCACTCCTTCCAGTAAGGGTCAATCTTCACATTGGAACCCAGAGCCCAGAGCACCTGGTGGTTCCAGACTCAGTTGTCCCAACTGTCTACTACACAGTGTGACATATAAACATGCCCACCAAGGGTCCCCATTCTTAGCCCCAATTCCAGATAACTGTCCCCTGTTGCTGCCTCTATGACCATCTCGACATCCCCACATACAATCAATATTTTAAGTGTGTGCTTAAATGGTATCAATAGCAATGTGTGTGTGTGTGTGTGTGGGTGGAGCTCCTATTCCAGCCCAGATGTAGTTAATTGTTACCACATCGATCCTACCCTCTAACATGAGTCTTTCTCCAAATCAAACCCCCATTACAGAGGAGTGGAGGGCATCCTCTCCCCTCCTGCAACAATAAATTTAATATCGAATGTACTGGAAAAAAATGGCAGCTGTTGCAGAATCCATCCAAAAAGATTTTTTTCTTTTGCTTCCTGGGAGTAATTAAAAGACGCTTTCCCTGACTAACGATCCCCCTGTTTAGGAATGGGAAGTCAATACTGCTTCAGCTGTCGTCAGCTCCGATTGATCACGATGCTGCTCAAGTTTGAACGGCAGTTTTCAGGGCGGCTGAGGGTTGCTGGAACCAATTATAGGCCATCCAGAGCTGCCCTAATAGGGGTGTGGGGACAACAGACAGAAGGCCAGGCAGCTGCGCCAGGCGCCTGTTCTCCCAACCTGCCCGCAGTTCTGGTTGAGGCCAATGCATGGTTGTTTCAGGGGACCGGCTGCTTCTTTATAGAAAGATGTTGTGTGTGTGTGTGTGTGTGTGTGTGTGTGTGTGCACGCACACATACACACATGTAAGCATGTCTAAACACATGTATGTATATGTGTTTGTGTGTTGAGATGTGTAGATATGTGTGTATATATGCTGGACTGTGTCTATGTGTACAAGTGTGAGTATATATATATATATATGTGTGTACTGGGTGTATATACATGTATATATGGGTTTGTGTGTTGGGGTACATGTGTGCTGGTATGCTGCAGTGTGTGTATGTGTATGTTAGGATGTGTGTGTATGTGTATATATGTATTAGGTGTATATAAATGTATGTATGTGTTTGTGTGTTGGGGTACATGTGTGCTGGTATGCTGCAGTGTGTGTATGTATATGTTAGGATGTGTGTGTGTGTGTGTCTGTATATAAGCAGCAGGTTTTTAATTATATTTCAGTCAGAATGAATCTCCTTAATCACGCTGAAACCGATCCAAGTTCTGTGAAAAAACATTTGGGCCCTTGTTTCAAAGAGTAACATTTGGGTTTTTTCCTTGAACTAGCATCAACATTTATGAAACTATTTCTTTTGGGGCTTAGTTTCTGGCCCCTCAATGCTTCTAGTAACTGGCCTCAATTCCTCATGGAGAAGGTGGGAGGCCTGAGGGTTGCGATGGGGTGAGGCATCTTGGATAGGCAGTACCTAGACTAGATATCAACTTCCTTGGGGGTGAATTCCATTCTGACTCTAGCCCAGACTTCCAGGGTTTTCTTTCTCCTTGGGGAAAGGGTGGGGGATGAATGGTGAAGGTGGGAGGTAGTAGGATCACTACTGTACTAGGTATGGGCTGTAGTATGTCTTTAACACTAGAAACCTAGGTAGCCTTGGCCTTGGTCTGTCTTGGTCCTTTCAAATCTCCCTGCTGGTGACTTCAGTGTTCTGAGGAACAATATGGAATGAGGTCAAACACAGATTATACATCCTACCCCAATCCGGCTGATATCAGGCATCCTGGCTAAGAGCTTCCCAGAGCAAACCCATTCTTGCTTCTTTAATCTGAGGAGATCCAGCCCTGCAGGAGGCACGCTGCTGGACATGCGTGTTGTGGGCAGAACCTCCTGCCTTTGCTTAGGCTGCCCTATCCTCCCACACCTCTCTTTTGGAAATCAGCCATGGTTGTAAACTTCCCAGGAACTGGCATCCTCAGCTGGTTCCAAGAAGGCCCATGTGTCATGATACTCATCTTTTATTCATCTCCTCCGTCTCTCTTCTTGTGAGTATTTGGTAAATATTTATTAATTTAACCAGACAAAAGAATTTTCTGGGATAATTTACCAAAGATACAAATATGCCTCCAGATCTCATGCCTGTCTGAAAATTCAGAAATTCCAAAGTCCCATCAGAAGATGCTATGGTCATCACACCACATCACTGCAGCCTTGGGAAGGAGTCGTGACTCAGAAGGGCTCTTGAAACTTGACCAAAGGTAAGAGGTCCACCTGCAGTCACCCTATTTGTGAGGCAGATGACTCCTCTCACCTGTCTCTAAGCTATTACAGGTGCTGCTGGGCAGAACAGAAAGCTATAGCCCCAGAGCTCAGGGCAAAGAGCAGTCAGAACTGGCCATTGCCCGTACAGTAGCCACTCACTGCTGGGTACATGAAGACAACCACACAGCAGCTTCTAATTCTTCTATGCTCTACACGAACAGCAAACCTTCTTAATTCATGGCATTAAACATAGTCTACATGTTACTTTTAAACCTAAAAGGTCAGATGCATAAAGTTAATTTTTTCTAACTCCTATCAATGTTTTCTTCATACATTAAACAATTTAACTTCCAAGTATCTTTTCATTTTCAGATTGAAATTTAACTACACTATGAAAAAAAAGAGACACTACAAAGCAAATAATGTTTTAGGATTGAATGAAGAGCCCAGGTGACTTCCAGGTGAGTGTTAAATCAGGGAAGATAATAGTGAGACAGAGAAAAAAGGGTAGCATATCTTTAATTTGTGAGAAAACCACTCCTAACTGTGCTACCCAGACTAACTCATACAATGAGGAGCTGTCACAGCAAATCTACGGGGTGTTAAGCACACTATCACACCTTGTGGCCCTCCCTTCCTGCCCTGCCTAACACAAACAGCATTAATGTAAGCCAGCTTCACTCCTGATGTGCACCAGAGGGGGCGCCACGCACTCATTCTGCAGTGTTAGTGAAACACTCGGCCAGCAGATCTCAGGAGATCACTGGCTAGAACCTGGATGTGCAGCCTAACCACTGGTTTCTAGCCACTTGGGCTCTGACTGTATCTCATCACCAGGAGAACAAACAAGCAACAAACAAGCATACTCAGACGCTGAGCATGACATGCCTCTTCCTCTCACTACCTTGAGAAGCGCAATAGAAGCAGGTCTCAAGCCCATGTAGGGAAGATAGCGGGGTGGGGGGACACAAAGCATGCAGCACCTGAGTACCTTGGATGTATGTCCTCAGGTAGACCAACTAGAGATGAGCTGACCCCTCTGCTACTATGGAATTGGATTTCTTTAAAATTGGGCTATTTCAGCCACCTCTTAGGGGAATTAAATATGTATGCATAGCCTCAAAAATGGTTTATAATTGCTGTAAGTGAAAAATGGGAAACTAAATGGCCTCAAAAATAAATGCGTTTTTATCCTGGATAACAATTAGCATTAATGAGGAGTCACCATACATTATGCTTAACTGTACTTAATTAAATGTGTTAGAAGTATATTTTAGAAAATAAAATACATTTTCTTAATCATAAACTCACTTGTTGGCAAGGGCAGGTGAGGAAGTTGGTTATCCACAAGATGCTTAGCAATGGTGTACAAAAGAATACAAAACCAAAGAATCAAAAATTTATAATTAGTGTTAGCACAGCTTGGGCCTATTAGAAATATATTAATTAAAGTAATATATTCATAAGATTAGAAGTGTAATACATTTCCAAGAGGGGAGAGGAATCCCCAAGGCCTAAAAATAAACATAAAAAATTAAGGAGTTTGAATCATTCAGTCTGCTTCAGACTAATTTCAGATAAGGATGCTTCCAGACTAGGCTAATCGGCATTCCTATAGGTTGCCAGGGTCACTGCTGCAGCTGTTCCTGAGGTCGTGCCCAGCAGTGCAGCTGCTGGAGGAGCACCTGTGCATCCCTACCTTGTGGAGTCCAATGAGGGTTTCGTCCGTCCTTGGCTGCTCTCTTCCCACACGCTGTTGGCCAACTCATTCCCAATAGACGACATCACCTTGATCAGCTCCATGGGCCAGTCATCAAGATCTAGAGATCGGACCCTGGAGAGGTGGGTGCCAAGATTCCGGTGGATCCCTGAGCACTCGATGCACATGAGGGCTCCCAAGTTCAAACTGGCCCAGTTAGGGTCTACAGAAAGAGAAACGGGAAAATTTCAATCAGACTGCCACCAGTCCTTCTCAGCGGTCCTGGACTCTCGGGGACACCTGCTCAGGCAGCCAGTCCCCACAGTCACATGTTTTAGAGCTGTTCCTGGTGTCAGGGAAAACATGGTAAGTTGCTGGCAGCTGTGCCAAATCCAGGGTTTCTCAGAACTGGTGTTCATATGGACAGAGATACCTCTTCTAATACTTTAGCAGCACAGCTCAGGACTGGTGCACATCAGAAAAAGAAGTTGTGTGTTAAGAACTGCTGCTGATGGAATGAGAAGCAGAGACAAGGTAACTGAGTACCACCCTGGCCCAGGCCACGCCTGGAGGTGGCACTGGCACTCATAACCCTTTGTGCTATGGTTAGCCCAGGTTGGTTGGGTTAGCCAGTTTCGAAGACGGAAAAGGCACACTCCTGTGTGAAGGTCAACAAGGGTCTTACTCAAGGGTGCCTATTGCAGCAACTCACAGGGTTCCACTGGTCACTGGCGGGTGAGTGTGCAGGTACTCTAGTCATATCAAGACCCAGCTCCCTCAGCTGTGACTCGTGGAGTGCGTACTCTATGTCTCAAGCTGGGCTGACAGGACAAGGATAGAGTTCTGTTGGATGCTGGGCTTGTACAGAGAATGGCTTCAGGGGCGTAGGACAGATCTGTCATTGTGTAATGATATCATCAGAAGATCTGGAACTTGGGCCCAGGGCTGGCTTTGAGTTTACAATCTCTAGGAGTTTTGAAAAGACAGACTGACCTTGATAACCACTGGCTCTCATTGTTATTAGGAAGAGAGGCTACACTCACACAGGTAGAACTGGCATGTATTCAAGTCAGAAAAACTGTCATGTATTCAAGTCAGAAGAGTCAGAAAAAAAAAAAAAAACTGATCTGATCCAGTGGAGAGACGTCCTGGGCTCTCCGCAGGGCAAATGAACATTGATGGTCGCATCATGACTAACCAGAATGTCAGCAAGCTATGTATAACATCAGTACAACTCAAGAAGATGGCTGATTCATATCCCACAGTCCTGGAACAGAGACCTGTGATCTCAGAGATGTTCTGACTTAAGCAAAAACCTAAGTCTCAAACAGAAGCAGAGAGAACAGGGTACAGAAACATACAGATTCGTGTGAAGACAAAAAGCAGAAGACAACTGTGTTGTGGTTTGGATGTAAAATGTCCCCCACAGGCTCATGTGTTTGAACAGTTGGTCTCCAGCAGGTGGAGCTCAGCCCCATTTCCTGTGCTGTCTGTGCGCCCTGATCCATGGAGACATGAACAAACAGCTGGCCCCGCAGAGGACCCCCTCCCCTATCACATGACAGGCTGTAGCTTCCTTTCGTGTAATTTCTTGCTAGGTGTGCTGTGGTCACAGGGACAAGTGGGCACAGCACAGGAGGCGGCACAATGCAGGCTGGACTCAGCTGGTGAAGAGCTTGCATACCCTCCTCCGCATGGCTCTCGCCTGCTGTCTGCAACCCCTTAGAGTGTGGGTCCTGCTATGCTGCCCCCACCAACTCTGTCCACTGAGACAGGGCTGTCATAGCTGCCGGCCACCTCCATGGTTACAATTTTAGCCCACTGCTGACTTCCTATCCACTGTCCACCTCCCAATTCTGCACATGATGCAGGTGAAGTTAAATGTCTCTTTGGGATTTTCTCCATGGTTTCAGTATTTCCTCCTCAGGTTGGCCCCCACCTTGGCTCCTGTAATCTCTTCTCTTCTGATGCCATTGTCTCTGCCTGGTAAACCCAGCTAGACTTGGCTTTTGGGACAACCCAAACTGTAACAACTGTCAACAGCTCCGACCTCTTTCTCATTTACCAGCTGGAACATTTTGCACAGACTTCCCTGACATCAGCTTGCACTGATGATGCTTTCTTCTGTCAGGGTTCTTTCTGCATCAATGCTCTCCCAGGATCTGGGGAGTCAGCCCTCATTCTTTCATTGTCCCCACAGATACTCTCTCCAATTCAGCCCTTTCTTCTTGATCTGAACCCCCACTCTTGTCCTTACTATTTCCTCACAACATGGGATTGTCGCAGCTCATGTCCATATGTTCACATCCTGATCCCTGAAGGCACATCCCAACAGCAGCCATGAAATGTTGGCAGGCCCAGTCACGTAACACTGAGACTTAGAACCTGCTGTAACTGCTACCTGTCACTGGGATCAGACAGGATAAGAACGGAGCCCCACCCCTTTCTCTGTCTCATGTGAGACCCTCACCGCCTCCACTAGCTTGTGGACAACACTACCATCTCTACCTGGCATGCTGCTCTTCCTTTGGTCTCAGCTAGAACTGCCTATAGCTCCCTTGGTCACCTCCTACCCCCAGTGTAATAAGGTGATATCACAAAACATAAGCCCTGCTTTGGGCAGAGCTTGGTGTGCCCACTCTTCTTGGTGGCTATGGACATTAGAGGCTGTGAAAACACACTATATGTGGGTGAATACAAAACAGCCTCACCGTAGCAGAGCTCACATCTGAGGAACTGAGGGGTGGTCGAAGGCAAGGCTGGTGGGTCAGACAAGATCTACTAGGAACTAACAGTGGTCTAGCCAGACTGTATGGGCAGCACTGGCAATGACAGAACTTTGTGGACCAGGAGTCAGAGGCTGGGCTGCCTCCTACCTTTGTCCTGGAAGGTCTGACATACTGGTGAGGACTGTGTGTGTGTGTTTGTGTGTATGAGACAGACAGAGAGACAGAGAACGAGAGAGCGAGAGCGAGAGAGAAAGAGAGAGAGAGAGAGCACACTCTGGGATTCCCCGGGTCATTTTCTGGACATGCTGCTGGTGGCTGGCAACTAGTACTCCCAAAAACAGATTTCTGTTGTCAGTGGTTTCTTGAAAGAGCTGGGCTGGACAAGCAAGATCCTTCTAGAACAAAATTCTCAAATACTGATGGGCCTTGCCCTGCGTGGTGGATAGCACTGACTTTTCCAAATTCACTGGACCACAATTTCACTTTATAGACAACAGCCCATAGCTAAGGTGGCTCCATGCCCTCTTTGGAAACTGTTCTGGGACAGGCTGAGTGGGCAGAGGAGAAACCTGGTGACCTGCAGTAATTGTGGCCTCAAATCCTACATTGTACCAGAGTCCGGCCACATTCTCAACCCCCAGAGGGTGATACACATGAAATGGTGGGCTACTGAGACTCTTTTGGGTGGGTGGAAGGCTTTCCCTGGAGTCCCATTGTCTGTCACACCAACAGATGTCACCAGTACCTCCCTTTAGAAGTGGAGTGGCTCTGATTTCAGTCCACAGAGTCCTGGAGAGGGACATCTTTAAGTGGGTGTCTGCTCCTTTCTGGCACAGACCATCTTCCTTCCCACTGGGACCCTTCCTAAGGGAACGGCTGCAGTCAAAGGCACACAGCCTTCACAGGCTTCTAATCACACTGCCCTGTGAGCATGCTCACATCTCATTGCTGGTGTGGCCTAAGGGGATCTGTTTCCTGGCATTTGCACCAAAACTGGGTATTTACACTAAAAATCCCTCCCTGCTTGCTCATGTACTTCACATCAGATTCTCCAAGCATCTTAGGCTTCTGAGGAAGCAACAGGCTGGCGAAGGGTGTGGGCTGAATTGCATAGAACTGCTTGCTACCTCAGCGACCTGGACAAACTGCTGTGGTCTAGACTCTTCCTTCCCTGTCCTGTCAATGGGCCCATGACAGTGCCAACTATCCAAAAGATAATCCATGTGTGGACTGGACACAGCATACTTGGTGAATGGCCTTCAAACCTCTTTTTCTGAAGCTTCAACTCTGCCTTTATCAGCTCCGCCCCATCTGCTCATGTGGTGTCCACAGTCTGGTCTCATGGCCTCCCCTTCCTGCCCATTCTTAGCATGCATATATCCACCTCCTCTCAGAAAGGACCTGTGACCTCCAATTTGCCACATGCCACAGTTTCTGTAAAGCTTTCAATTGGTTTCTTTTTGAGGAATCTCTAGTTGCATGCTGGAAACAATTACAGACATCAATCTCTGGATTTTTTTTTTAATTTGCCTCAGGTTCTGTGCTTTAAAAAATGTCTGGTTTAAGGAAAGTTTTGGACAAAAACACTTCAAATATATGTTCTTTTCTCTTCAGCTCACGTTTTGAAAGTAAAATTTAAAAATTCAAACAAAGAGAGACTTTAAAGCAGCGCCCAAAGGAGTCTGTGGAAGAGTGTGCCCTTCCTGTCCCGAGGACAGGCTCCTGCTGAGCTGTGGTCAACTAGGCCACCTGGACAACCTGCTGGTCCGGCCCCTGAGGTCAGTTCAGCTCTTTCCCCTCGTCCGCAGCAAGTCTGGGCTAGCGCCTCCGTGTCTCATGAGGTGACACTCACAATCCACCTGCAGGTCTCTGGCTCTCTCTGCTCTTCTCCTCTGGTGCACTCAGACAGTCTCCCCATAAAACTGCACAGAAGTCTGTCCCTACTAGGAAATGTGGACAGCTCACCCTGCCTACAAATGCATAAAGATCTCACAGCCCTTGGGGTAGTGGCACCCAAGTATCTGCATCAGCTCCATCGTTTCCAGCCTGAGTTGCCACTTTTCTTTTTGGCTCACCCAGGGAGAACTCTGTGAGGCTACAGACTCCAGTCACACGACTCTCTAACACTCTACTCTTTCTCAGAGTCCTCCTGACAAGCAAACTCTGGTGGGAAGCTAGCTTTGAGGTTGAAGATCTCAAAGACCTATGACCCTTTTGTTTCTTCCCCAAGGCTGTTGACCATGTTCCCTGGGTGCCTTGCCCAACAACACAGGTGTGTTCAGTTCCCAGACATCCCTCACCTGAACCAGCACCTCTTGTTTGAATTGCATTCCCATGCCCCTCAAGACCCTACGTAACAATATAAATGGGAAAAGTTTATTCAGACTTTGCCCCCCAGGATATAAAAAGAAAACTTCGCCCTCAAAGGGAATATTACCTTTTGCACAACAGAAAGAGTGACATACTGGGGTAACTCCAAGAGATGAAGTCTTTATAGTTTCAGTCCTTCAACCATTGTGATGCCTGAGGCTTAAGCAGGGCACACAGAAGTCCAGTGTATAAGAAAAGACACACTTCCAACAGTAAGGCTGTGTGAAGGACACTATGTTCAAATTAAACCCAGATCTAAACATGTCTAATCCTTAATGCCACAGCTGATAACAGATCTAGGGGCACCGCCAGCCCCGTATACTTACTTTGGGTGTCACAGTCCACACAGTGGGAGTTCCCTCTCATGTTACGGATGGACTGCAGTGCCATGGCCTCGCTCTGGCTGGTTAGTCGGGACTAGGCACAAAGAAAGACAAAAAAAATGCAAGATATGAGCAGCCAGGAAAAAGCCACACATCTTCTGATGATGTCAGAGAAAACCTAACAGAGTATGCAGAGGTGCAGCGGTGTGCAATTTCCAAACAATTTTTCCTTTTCTGATGTCTTAGGGAAGTTCGGGAGGGAGAGCGACAAGTCGTATGTCAGGATTATTGGCTGAGATGGACAATCCCCAAAATGAGCCAAGTGGTCAGACTGCCATAATTTGTGAATGAACCAAAGACTGCTACATGGAAAATGTCACTGGTTAATACACCTTCATGCACATCGCTACTTGGTATGAAGATTAAAGAGTGAGAAAAAAATAATCTGTGTTATCAGCCAAGGGTCAGGCCTTAATCAGCATGCACAGAGCTATCTTCTGAATCTTTATCAGAAAACCCCAGACCATACCACACATCATAGCCAGAAGAGTCTCTCCCTCATGTGATGACCTCTCAGTTGCTATGAAATAAAAGTCACTCATTGGAGTGAGGCAGGGGCATTCATTCTTATGGTTCTCAGAAGAGATTTTTTTTCTTTTTAAGGTCCACCTATTGTGGCAACATTAGAAAATTTGGGACACAAGCATTTATAAACTAGGATTCCATCATTCAGAGATCCTCTGGCAGTTTTTCTATGCACAGGCACTGTAGGGAAGCCAGATGGGTACATACTGCCTTGCAGCTTGCCTTTCCTGCTGAGTACTTACTGTCTGTCTGTCTGTCTGTCTGTCTATCTATCTATCTATCTATCTATCACTTGATGTCAACAAAGCCTCCAACGTCACCATGTAAGTGCCTGCATATGAATTCACCTAGTGAGTGAGTACACAGCAAGCTCCTTGGCTTTGTATTCGGAATGCTCTAGGCATGCTCGACCCTAGAGAGAGCTATAAAGAAAATGCTTTCTGTAAATCCCTATGCCGATTCCTGACTGCGTAGCAAGGATGAAATCCCGGAAGCAGGGGCAGAGCTGGAAAGGATATGTGTATTTTAAAAGGCTTATTTATTCAATATGCACTTGATATTACAGTTGAAGCAAAAGTTGATCAGTTTCAAAACTTAGAATAACTTCTTTTGTGTACAAATTCTTCACAAATTGAGGTATCTTGTGCTAAAGAGATGGATGTGAATTTATTGCTTGTTAATTAATACTAAGTTATCATTTACTTACTGCTATTGTTTAATCGGCATTATTTACCGCTGTGTTTTTATTTCCTAAGAAATCATTTAACAAATTGAGTTGGTATCTGGAGGTGTCACACACATGGGGAGGGGTGTCTACCTATCTTCCTGTTTTTTCTTCCATGTATCTGTACAACGCTGTGACTCACTGGTCGGCTGCTCTATCTGTCTCTGGATTGTCATACTCAATGCTTCTCTCTCTCTAATGGAGTCATCCATGTTGGGAGAGCTATGTCCCATTTGACTCTTTCTTGGTGTCTGGTGTCCTTCAGTTCCTCTCAGGGGAAGCCATTTCCACAAGTATACTTGCCCATGGTTACAGAGCGCAGCTATAGGTGGGCTGGCATTGGCGTCTAGTTCATGACACCCTTCTGTCTGCAACCAGAGTAGCAAAGAGGGAAGAGGCTCTCAAGGAAGTGGAATGGGAGGAGCCCACACAGGCCAGAGCTTCTAAAAACAAGAAGAGGTGTGGCTTCGGTCAGAATGTGTAAAATTAATTTCTCCATAACACCCGGGGACGTGCTTGTCTGATCAGCAGCACGTGTCCCCTTCCCTGCTCTGAAACCAGAACTCCAAGCCTGTGGATGGCAGGTGTCACTGCGCCCAGGGGTGAGGAGGGGAGACACATCACGGCTAGATAGGGATATGACCTGAGAGTCCAGGAAGCTCAGAGTAAAAACTGTGGTTCTCCTGAGCTGGGTATGAACCGTCGTCCAAGAGAGAAGCAAAGGACATAACAACAATAATGACAGTGGTATGGCTTACCCTGGCTCGAGGGTAATAAAATAACACACCCCACCTCTCTGCAAAGCAGGTTCCCTTCTTAATGACAAAGCTGGCCATCCATCACGGGCATAGCTTTCTTTAACGGCTTATAAATGAACTGCAGTGGATGGCCATGTCTTTCTTCAGTTTCCAGTCGATCACAGTTTGAAAAATCAAAATGCTCACCAAGAATCTCAACGGGTCAGCAAAGGACTCTGAGTACCTAAGGGTTCAAAGACTGAAATGCAAAGAACCTGGCTGGGAAAGACAGGACTGGTATAAGGAAGATTGCCGAGCAGTGGCCCAGAAAACGCAGTGAACACACTTTTATTTCGGGCCAAACAACTGCTGGAGAACTCTTTTTAATTACTGAATGAAACATCAACCAGACTTTAAAAAAAAACAGAAAATCCACCTTGCCCAAACTCCCTCTATCTCCTCTGCGTTTCGTTTGTATCCCTGTGGCATTCGAGACATTTATGAGGGCAGAATAGGGCATCTTTTAAGTCTCTGTGTCTTTTTCTGATTTATTCTGCCTCAAACAATAACAACAAAAAAAAATAAGTATGGACGCATAAGCAGGCAGAGTCCAAAAGGCTTCATCGCCTACAGAGAGAGGCGAAAGCTTCCCACGTAGCGCAGGCTGCCACAGCAAAGGACATCCTGCCACACACAGACGGCCAAGCCAGGACACCAACACATGCATGCTGTTTGTAGATACAAAGTGGTTTTATCTTTTCAATTACTTAGTTTTTTTCTCCTCACAAAGCATACCTGGGTCTTGTCATCCACACAAGCCATCTGATGCCCCTGTGTCCCCATACCCCCCTCCTGGCTCCACTTGGGCCTTCTTCTCACTTTAATGATCAGCAGCCTTGATTTTGGGGCAGCCTGCTGAGGGCCTTACCTTATTCTTGCTGCTCTCGCAGGACTGTAGGCTGGCTAGGATCTGGCTCTCGATGGCTTGGACCCATGCATCTCGCTCCTCGTATGTGGTGGCTTCAAAGTGCCATGTCTGGCCGGTGAGGGACACAATGATAAACTCAAAGTTTTCTTCTTGCTCTGGAACACAGAGGTGGGATGAAGAGCTCACTTTCATGAGACAGCAGCGCCCGAGCCCATCCTGTCACAAGTGCCTCTGGATTCAATGGCACAGGCATGGGGCTGGCGGCACACAGGATGGGAGCGCTGAGATCTGATCAACACACCCGCCAACACTCAAGGCCGGCTTCCAAAGCCAGCAGCGATAACTAGGTTTCCATCAATGCTTGGGGGACAGAGAGAAAGGAGAGACAGCGTGGGATTTCAGGGTCTCTGTGTGGGCACAGACCAAGGAAAGTAAGTTTGCAACTTACTGCTGTCCCTTGGATCTGCGAGAGGAAAATGGGGTTAGTTCTGCTGATGTGAAACTGGACTACGGAAGGGCTTGAGTACGGATCCAGGGAACTGCACTGGGAACACCAAGGTGGTGTCAGCACACGGTCGAGCACTCGTCAACGGGAGCTTTAGTTCTCATCTCACTAAGACTTGGACACAGTGACGTCAGGCAACACAGAGGGGATTAGTGGGCACGGGTCTGGCTGGGTGGTCACAGAGACACCTGTTTTTAAAGGGGAAGAGAGCTTGTGTCCACGTCCTGTGACAGTACCTGTCCCTCTGCCTTTAGGTAAGTTCCTGAGGCGCATTTCCCTCCCCTGTGGATTGGGCACAGGCAGCTTCTGTGGAGTTTATCATTCGCTAACTGTTGCATGTGAGCGCAGCGGCACGCAGCCTGGCCACTGGAGGCTGTGTACTCAGTTCTTGCTCTCACTGTCTGCTCAGAGGCGGCACCGCTTAGGAAAAGCACAGTCAGAAGCCAAGGCTGGACCCTTCACATGCCTCAGTGGATGAGGAGTTTCTTAGCACTGGCCTGAAACTGGCTGTGTAGTCACAGGAAAAGAGTAACCTGTAGACCTGCTTATCAACTAAGTCATTCCCTGCCCTGCCACTGCACTGATGCCAGGGCATGGTGCCTCCCCTGATCCCAAGGATGCCATCAAGCCCCACTCTCAGGGGCTGGGATACCACCCAGGAACGGGATGCTCAGGTCTTGAATGTAAGGCCTCTGCAACCACCACCACCACCACCACCACCACCACCACCACCACCACCACCACCACCACCACCACCACCACCACCACCACCACCACCACCAATCACTATGGCACACTTGTATGGAGTCTTTAGTGTTCTGAAAAAACAAAACGAAGACCAGCACTGAACTTGGAATGTAAGAAGCAAGGTCGGTCTCTCTCTCTCTCTCTCTCTCTCTCTCTCTCTCTCTCTCTCTCTAACTGATAACAGGTCTTAACCCCAAGGGGCTCAGTCTGAACACCACCTGGAGGGTGGGCAGGCGGACACACCTGTGTGCAAAGCCTCACATTTTCCCCAGAAAGCCCATCTCCAGGAATGAAAATGACAGCCGACAGAAGCGTCTACACCCTCCAACACTGCCAAGGCCCATGACTCCCTGTAGGATAAGAGCTGCTGTATTTCAGTCACGCTCTGCAGCTGTGATATAGTGCCTAGGAGGGGCCAGGCCTTGCAGCCATGGCTCTGGCATGGCTGTCCTTTTGGGTGTTTGCACTGAGGCTGCGCTCGTGGCAGAGCCAGAGCGTGCCTGAGCTCAACAGTACATGCAGGTAGCCCAAGGAAGCCGTGAGCTTGCTTAACCGTAGGCATGTGTGTTTCCTGAGTTCTTTCTTGATCTCTTTGGTTCTTGGCCTTTGGAGTTTGAGTATTAAGAGTTCAAAAAGCATGTGCTTGTTGTGTGGTATTACCTTAAATGTATTACACTTGGTCATGCTGTGGAGCATTTGTTTCAAGGATGCGAAGGTCTGTTGCATTCTTTTATGTCGCATTTGTTTAGCTTTGTGAAGCTGTGTTACTTTGCCTGCCTAAAACACCTGACTGGTCTAATAAAGAGCTGAATGGCCAATATCTCCGCAGGAGAGAGAAACGGGCAGGGCTGGTGGGCAGAGAGAATGAATAGGAGGAGAAAGCTAGGGGAAAGAGGAGGAGTAAGGAGGGAGAAAAGAAGGAGTGGACGACGCCAGGGGCCAGGGTGCAAAATAAGATAGACAGAATAAAGAAAGGCAAAACATAGTTAAAGAGAAACGGGATGTTAAGTTAGGAAAACTGGCTACAAACAAGTCAAGGCTAGACATAAGTAAGACTAAGACTCTGTGGATTTATTTGGGAACTGGGTGGCAGAACCCCAGAGGAGAGAAAACATCAACAAAAAACAAAAACAAAACATCAACCAAAAACCCCCCAAAGCCAACTACAGGTTGTGGCCAGGAATGGTACTCAAATGAAGCCCATGTTTGTGGAGACACAGAACAAGCTCACCTGCTGGGGAGGAGCCCCAGAGACCTTGGACATGGGGATTAGTTAAGTTTTTCATTAAAAAAAAAAAAAAAGACTACACAGTAACTTCAGACAGGTTTCCTCATGGTTGACCTGCAACCACACCCTGCAATTCCCAGCAGAGCCACGAAATCTGTGGGCTTGAAATGACCTGTCTCCTGATCCACGGGCTTCTATGTCATACTATTCACTGCAACTTTTACCACACAGAGGTCTGCAAGACAGCACTGATTCGGTACCTAAAACTCTTCAGTGAAGAGAGAGGTAGGGCAGGGCAGGGACAAGCTATTTAATTCATGGGTAGAACGCAAGGACACTTGGTCATTCATGGGTGGATGTGAATACTGTTCATTAGGACATCTGCAAAGCCTCCCCTCATCTGACATCTGTGAAACCCAAGGATAAGAAGAATGCTTCCTCTGGTCGGGATTTACTGCATGTCTGCTGAAGACATGACAACCGTGAGCCTCCCACTTAGAGCTCTGTACACGCCCTTAGAGGATTTCTGCCCATGTTTGTAGCCTAAATCATGAGCTGCAGTGCGAATGTGAAGGCAAGGAGCCAAAATGGCTTGACTGAGGTATGGGCTCGGTCCCAGGGCTCTCGGTTACCTCTCCTTCATGCCTTGGGTGTCAGGGGAGGCAGAGGGTGGTCTTTGAAGGCCCTACTTAGCAGGGACAAGCACACCCATGTGTGGATGACAAAGCACAAAATGACAGAAATGGCTGAGTATCTGGGTCAAGTGCTACACAGCTATCACCGAACTTTCTGCCTTGTTCTGATTCCAGCTTAGCTGTAATGGGCAGATGAAGCCACGCAGGCGCAGTCTGGCTCTGCCTTGTCCTGGGAGCCATGCGCCTCTCTCTGCACAGGTACGCAAAGGGCAGAATTCACAAAAACACCAGGAAACCCACTGTGTTGCTCCGTCAGCTTTCCTTCTAGACGACTGCAGCTTCTGCGCACTTAGACCTTTCTCCCTCCTCTGTGTTCCCGGGGTGTCCCCGCTGCACCTCTCTGCTTTCCATATGGCTACCTCTGGTATCTTCTTGGGCACCTACATGTTGTAAGGATTTCTTCTCTCTACTCTGAGCTCCAAGAGTCTCGCTATAAGTGTGTTGGCCTTCATGTAGGATGTACACCCTGCAGACAGACACCTTCCTACTCCACTCCAATCTGAAAGTAGCCGCGCGTGTGCTCAGTCCTCTGCCCTCTCCGTCACAGACGCTGCTGTTGCCTTCCCTGACACCTCACTTCTAAGCCTGTGAATGAGTACCCAGTCAGGTCATGGCTCTCCTCTGTCTCCCCCAACCCCGTTATCTCTGGAACGGCAGGCAGGCACTGCCCATCATGTCTACTGTCTTCCGAATGACGGCACGCTGGACATGCTGAGTCCACTCGGACGGGAGACAGGTATGCGACTGGGTGAGGGAAAGGGAGCCGAGCACAGTGACATGAGCAATGGCTCCCTGGAGGTGTCTCAAAGCCACCTCACTACCCTGTACCCCTTTCGACTGCTTCAGGTCTTTATTGGGGTCCTGAGTGAAGTCCTGAGTGGGGTCCTGAAACACTCAGGAGGAGTTTTAGGGAGGACAGAAAAGTCCAGAGTTAATGTACTGTGTGAGGCTATAGAGCAACCTGAAAACTCAATAAAAAAAAAAAAAAAGGTTCTGAAACCCAAAACTGCACGTTTAATTCCAGAAAGTAACAGATGGTAACCCACAAAAGCAAGGGGTGTGGTCCTGCCCTCTCCTCTGATGGAGGTCACTGAGTGCCACCAGTACACTGCAGTCAGGGATCAAGGTGCCAAAAAGCCTGATAACCTTCCAGGGCCCAAGTCCAGATGTCCCTCCAGTCAGCTGCACCCTGGATGTTTTACTGTCTTTGGGTCTTTTCCCCTTCAAAAAGGTTCCTGTCACTAGCAACAACGACTGATGAAGCCTGCCAGGTTACATGACAGTCAATGTTTACTGACAGCACCTCAGAGGCCTCCTGACTTAGTCCATGCTCGCACTTCACAGTGTGGCGGTGACTGAAAAAAGCAGACAGCCCAATGCAGCATGCTCCTTCCTCTCAATGCTCAGACATTACACCGGGTGACGTAGTGCCCGTCAATTCCTCAATGGCCAGAAGGCTGTGTTACTTCATAAAATGACAGTTGATGCTAGCAGAGTTTTTAGCAAACAGATTTTTAAAAACGATCCTAACCACACCAGGCACTATGATGTTGATCAGTCTCAGAGGGCTGAATGTGGCCGCTGTCCTCTGTTCATTTACTGTCCTTTGGAGACTGGGTCTCACTCTGTAGCCCTGGCTGTCCTTAAACTCATGATCGCCTGCCTGCCTTGCCTCTGCCTCCAAGGAGTGAGATGAGAGCTGTGGGTCCTCCCTACACCCCCCAAATGACAAATGCTTGAACAGTGAGAAGGGTCAGATTTGGTGTTTTATTCTCTGGTGTAATTTGCAGATACACCAATCACTAATGAGACGCACAGGAGCGTATGCAGAGTTCATTATGGAAGAGACTCAGGTTGTAGAAGACACTGTTGGCATACACACAAGAATCATGTTCTCAGTTCCAGAAACACACACAAGCACAGAGTTATTCCCCACTTCAAGGAGATGCCTAAAGGCCACCACCCCAGCCCGAAGCTCCA